AATTAACTTATCTTCAGCAAACTGCAACTGCTGCAGCATTGTTTTGAACTGGAGGGGTTCTTGATATGGTTTCAACACTTATTCTACTGCAAGTACCAGTTGCTTTGAGCCTAAATTAGGATTTACTAAGGAACTTTGAATACACTTGAAGAGCTGGGCTTAGTTTTTGAAAAAGTCAGGTCAAAAAAGTGTTATTATTGTTTGGTTTCTTCTTGGAACAGATATTAAGCTTGTCTAAATAAACCTTTTATATTTAGCAGCTACCATTTATGCCAACTTTCTTCTTTTGTGCAATTTGTAGAACGCTTTTTACTTTCATCGTCATCGTTTGAAACAAACAGTTTTGGTCTGATCACCTTATCCTCTCATTACTCCCAAAAGCATATGCCGCCTCTGCTGTCCTCTCTTGTTAATTACCATGGAAGTGCTAAATTTCATTCAAAGTTGAATAAAGCAATGAATACACTAATAAGTGATACAGACTTTCGTTAGATTTTTTTCTCGTATTAATTTATATTTTCATTAGCTTATGCAATTTTTCCAATCTTGAACAGTGCTATAGATTATGAATCACTTATTTGAATCAGTATAAGAGGTTTAAGCAATGTCTTAATCGAATGCTACTTCGAGTTTTTTCAAAGCGATTTTTCACTTTATCATTCTGTAATGTACAAGAGCATCTGTTTGCTTCTTGTTATATCTATACCAATCAGAAAGACCAACACTCGGAGACTAGTGTTCATTTTACAGTCCCCGAATTGTTACAAAAAAAAAAAAATTGGATTAGAAAATGATGGAAGTTAGAAGAAAATTTCCCTTAACAAAAATTGCAGTCTTGTCAAGAATAGTTTGTCTCCTGTTTTAGTAGTTAGTGATGTAAATTAAAGATGTCTGCATTAATATAAAGTAGAGAAAAATCGGAAGAGAACACTTCATAAATAATTATGTTATAACAGCCATTTAAGTGAAGTGAACAGTTGTTATAAGTTGAAGGTCACGATTTCATCTAATACTGCTACTGCTGCTGTTCAAACAGGTTATGAACGTTATTTGGCACTAAAAAAAGTGCAATTGCACTGTTTATGGTCGTAACGGCACACTAATTTATGTGCATATCTTTTTTTCAATAAACGCTTCGTCGGGTTTTTGGTGGAATAGAGGTAAAAAAAAGGCAAGGATGATAGCGGTGGTATTGAAAAGCTTTTGAAACAATAAAATAAAAAATTTAATTTGCAGTTTTTTGATTTGGTACCTTTTTCTAGGCAGCAATTCGGTATATTCACAGTTGAAAAAGAACGTTAAACTTGCATAGTTTCTTGGAGGTGGTGCATAAAGACGATACTGAGTTAGGTTGTTGGTGTGCGGTAAACAGTATCATTTGAAAGACTGCTGCTAAATGCGGCATATGAAAAACTTGCTGCCTTCTACATTTTTGTTCACAAATACGTCTAAGCGGAGGTAACTGAATTCTCCAAACATTCGATTCAATGCCGTTTATTCTTCACCACCTCTAGCATATTTTGACTGACAAAGTAGTATTGAGTTAAAAACAAAAATTAAATGAACGGCTTCGTGCTTTGCTGTTTCTAAGCTACGCAGTATAAAATAAAGGGAAAATAAAGGTTTTAAAGCTGCCGACTTTTGATGTTCTTTTGAAAATGGCAAAACTTTTCTGAAAGATTTTTTTACTACAAAAGATTTTAATCTTGGTCGTGGCACAGTCAAGGTGCAGCGTAGTGTAGGGTTCCAAGAGTGGTTTATTTTTATTATTTGTTTTCTGTTTTTCTTTCTGTGTTCCGATAATGTTCCGATAACTGTGCTTACTTTATCAGCTGACTAAATCTGTTCCTATCGTTATTACTTTTTGAGCAATCAAACGTTGTGTTGTTGTCTCTTGTTCTTGTTTTTAACCTATATGTGCGTAGAAGACGAGAAACCCTGTATTACTTCTGTAATACCTGCTTTACTTTTTTTTGTCTTTAAGCGATGTTAGTTCTGAAAAATTTAATTTTTCTGCAAGCAAAGTCGGATAATTATTTTTTTCTTGTACTTTTTTTCGTGTATTTCTTCCTACACTTCCAAAAGCTTCAATCGAATTCTCATTGCAATTTTTGATATTCTTATTGTAACATTGAATGGACGACTGCTTATAATTCGGATTAATAGCAAAAAAGGTTACTGTGTCTCATTTTTACTTCCATTAGCGGTATCGTTTTAGCCTTGAAATTTAACGAGCAGAACAATAACATTTTTATGTTGGTACCGCTGAGACTTTAATGCATTTCTTTTCAAGAACGAAATTGCTGTTTACACCACTTCTTTATTTACTTTATCTCGGGCAGTTAAGTACAAGCACTTGCTCTCGCTCTAGTTGAGTAGAGAACTTCGGTTGATAGTTCTCAGTTGCTTCTAGCAATGTTTGCTGAAGGAGTGAGGTCAAGCGTTCTAAAAAAAAATTCAACTTTATTTGGTGAAGTTTATGGTAAAATTACAGTTCTTAATAAATGCATTTTTTCTAAAGGATATCACCTCTAGAGTCTCAGTGTTTCCGCTTGCCAAACCGGAAGTCTATAATTCATTTAGCTTTTGAAATCGCCTATTACTGAATGAACTGATCAAATCACTTAGGCAGATAATTTCATTACACTGTTGGTAAATACCTTTGATGTTATACAATAAGAATGTCTATTGGTACTAACTTATGTGTGTTATTAGAACTATTTCACAGCTTATAACTGTAAAAATTCTATTTTTTTGAAAAAGCGATATTCTTCAAATCTGTTTTCATGGACCTTTGAAGAAATACTGTTGAATTTAAGATACTGTATGTTTTTCTTCTGAGTTGCAGCGGTGTGGTCAACATTTGTTATTTGGAGGACAAAAACTTAATTTTCTACATGTGCTTTAAATTTAGCTTCAAACCTACTTTATTGCATTGAGTAATTTTTTGCTTTTTTTGGGATTCGCAACGAAGTTTTGAGTCTTCGATCCTACCGCACCGTGAAATGCTGCAGTTATGTAGTCTCCAGTACGATTCTTCATACCTTTTCATTAGAAGAGAGCATATGCAACTTTCCTTACTTGTGGATGGGAACTGACAACATGGTGAATAATGCTGTTTTGCTTTCAGTTCAGCTTTTAGTGGCTGTTCATAGGTTTTTCTGACTTCTAAGTTTGCGAAGTAGTATAAGGTTGCAAGAAACAGACTTTATACTTCAGACTCCAGTAACTACGCAATGTGCTTCGAATAAGTTTTTAATCGGACGGCTTTTCTTTTGCTGAGAACTGAAGGAATAAAACGACAGACGGTTGAGTAAAATCAAACGCTTACTTGTTTGATTTTTCTCAAACATTCGTCTTTTTTGATAACGAAAACTGTTTTATTGTACATGAGAAAAAAAAAAACTTCTTCCATCGACTTGCCAGTTCAGGATCTGAAGCACAGTAAAATACTGATAGCAAAAGTTACGGTTGATCAACTACTCTTTTTTATGTCGATGTTCTTTGCCGGTTGGTTTTTTGGCAAAATTGTCTGTCTTTGGTATTTGTTGTTGATCATTTATTGTTTTATTGACGTGTTTTATGTTTTCGGTGCACAGAACATTTATATCTATTTTCAGATGGCTCATGATATTATCTTTGAATTGGGTGTTGAGGAAATTGAAATAAAATTTATTTTCTTATCTTTCGATTTGATTTATTTGTTTTTAGTTTGTTTTGGAAAAGGTGAGTTTGTTTTGATAAACCGGATAGTGAAATGGGATTAGAGGTTTTAAATTGAGAAAATAGTTTAGGTGACTTCCTGGTTGCGAATTGCAAGATTAAGTTCCCGTAATCTCACACATTCGGAGCAGCAGTTTGCTGAAAGAGCTATCTGCTTTTTTGGCAGAAAGAGAGCAGTGAAGGAGACGGCGACAAGGGGAGAGGAAAAGAAGTAAAGGAAGAAGGAAAAGTAGCAAAGGAGACGGCAATGGTAGCAAGGTGGGAGGAGACGGCAGCAGCAGTGGCGCGTGGGGGCTTAAGTTGGGTATTATTATCAAGTGAAGATTTTTGATCAAAGATTGTTTTTAAATGCTTTTTATGGAGGATTGGTGAGAAACCCAAAATTTCTTCTTTGCATATTGATGGTATTCGATGTCGAATGAGATTTCTGGTTTAGGTTCTCCTATAATAATTTCCAATTTATTTTTTCCTTTACTCTGTTTTCCAGTCTTTAGTCCGTGTTCGTTTATTAAATACTGATTTAGTTCTTAATGCTAGTCGTTTGGTTTCAAGGGTAGTTGCTGTCGATGTTTTTTTGGTCGTAAGTTTATCGGGATTGCTCATTATGTTGTTTAGACAATTATTTTATTTTTTTTTCTACTTTTGGTGATGGTGGTATTGTTAATTTACAGGGGTAACTTTTGTTACTTTAATTAAGCACAATGAACTTCGGAACGCGGAGAGTACTTAGCAACAAGTATTTCCTAATAAGCTAAGGTTTTCGAGATTATTTTGAGGGACTTATAATATTTTGTAAATTTAGGTTTGATTTTGGCTTTTTTTGGATAGGGTTTTCTGTTTACGGTTCTTTCGAACGGGGCTGTAAGTCAAGTTTTGGTTTGTTGGAAGCTTTGCGTAAGTAATCAGAGGGTTGCTTATGAGGATGCTTTTTGGTTTTTTTGCTGAGGGTAATTGTCTTTGTTGCTGGTTATTTCTTTATTTCTTTTAAAATGAGTTTGATCAAAGTCTTGTTGATGCGTTTTTTTTCCTGTTTGCGTGGACAAGTTAAACGAGAATTCTTTTGATATCTCTGGGGGTAACAGTGAGTTGGTTAGAGAGCACGATGTGGGATGTGAGAGCGTATTTTATACTATTATGTACCAGAAATATAATACTTTTCTAGTGACTTATTTTTGATTTGGTTCTTATCCTGATTCATTGCAACCTCAGTATGACATGCTGATAGTCCTTTTACTTTTTACCGCTTTTCCCTTGTTTTGTTTCGTTGTTATGGTTTAATGAAGGGTACTATTTTACATGGAGTAGTTAATGTTTATTTTTCTTGGTCTATTATACTTTATTGTATGGATTTGGTCATCTCATATCCGAGTTTTGAAGGTTAATGTTTTCTTTGCTAGAGTTAAGTGATGAATGGCCTGTCTCCACTGTACTGTATTGGATAATTTTTATACAGATTTTATCTATTTGTTGTGATGGTCATTTTTCTTGTTGTTTAGCCTATGCTCCTCCTGTAGTAGAGTATATTTTTTTGGGTTTAGGTGACGTAGTTATTAACTGTGATGTTATTGTACAGCAGGTAACGATTCCTAAAGTTCCCAATCTACGTGGCGAAGGTTATTTACAGAGGTTATTTGATTGTTTGGGTTTGAGTCTTGTCTGTGTTGCCCTGTGTATTTGACTCTGCGTGCCGTTATCAACTTGACTATGGGTCACTTTTTGGTAGTTTTTTTGCTCTAATGGCCTTAATGAACTAATTGGTTAGTTGTTTTTTCAGCAAGAAAATTGGAATAAAGGACAGCGATAAGGAAAAGGGGATAGCGGCAGCATATGAGGGTTGGACGTAGTGAAACAGAAGTGATCGTTCTAAACTTGTCATGATTATGACTCTTTGCTTGTTCTAATGTTGTTATGTATTGACAATGGTAACATCTTTTGTTAATTTTATAATGCGCAATTTTCTTGCGCACTGGAGCTTATTCGTGGTTACAGATTTACCGTTTTTGTTTTTGTGTAAGGGGAAATGATATGGCTGCAAATTCTGCTCGGTAAGTTTATTTATTAGAGGTGTTCGAGGCTGCTTTTCGTTTGTTGACAGTAGCCTACGTCAAAGAAAGGCTGTTGTTACTGTTTCATTATTGGATGGTGACTGCTTCTGATGAATTATCCTTTTGGATTTTGCTTTTGTTTTTTAATTTGAGAGAAATTTTGTAAAAATGTCATCGTTATACTTCAATTTTTTTATTTGTTTGTGACTACTGTTGGGCTTCTTCTAGTCTTTTCTTTAAGTTGTTCGTGAGTAAAAGTTATTATTTATGTCGGTTTTGAATTTAGGTAAGTTTTAATTGAACATTGTTAAGTGTTTTTTTGAGGTGAGTTTGGCGGTGCGGTTCTAACTTTATATTGTTTTTTGCTAACTTATTATTGCTGAAACCTAAAGATGGCAACATACGGCATCGAAACTGATGCTATGACATTGCAACGGTATGTCTTGCTGGAACAAATGAGGTATCCATCAGCTACGGGTGATATGACGCATCTGCTGACCTGTTTGTTAACCGCAATCAAGGCTATCTCATCAGCTTCTCAAAAAGCTGGAATCGCTCAGCTTTATGGTATTGCTGGGTCAACTAATGTTCAGGGAGAGGAAGTCAAGAAGCTGGATGTTTTGTCAAATTCTCTTATGATAAACATGCTAAAGTCATCGTACAAAACATGTTTTATGGTATCAGAAGAAAATGAGGAACTTATTGTGGTAATTTTTTACGTATTTAACTTCCAAATGAAATCCCCTTTCATTTCTTATTTTCATGACCATTTTGTCAGGTTGATAAAGCCCAACGCGGGAAATATATAGTGACCTTCGATCCTCTCGACGGGTCTTCAAATATAGATTGTCTTGTTTCCGTGGGGACTATATTTGGAATTTATAAAAAGGTGGTGTCTTTTGTGACAGCTTGGTTTAATAAGTAAAAAATTTAAGATGTGCAACTAATCGAAAACAACCTTTGATCTAGTTCTCATTTTTCCATTTAGGAGACTGAAGGTGAACCAACACTTAAGGATGTACTTCGTCCGGGCCGAGAATTAGTTGCAGCAGGTTACGCCCTGTATGGATCAGCTACTATGGTGGTAATATGCACAGGTCGCGAAGTCAATGGTTTCACGCTCGACCCATCGATTGGAGAGTTCGTACTTACGCATCAGGACATGAAGTGCAAGCCACGTGGAACTGTTTACAGTGCGAACGAAGGTTATTCAGCACAGTGGTCTCCAGGTTTGAAAGCTTACGTTGAGTCACTGAAATGCCCAAAAGACGGACGTAAGCCTTATTCTCAACGTTATGTTGGATCGATGGTAGCTGACATACACAGGACGCTGCTGAATGGCGGAATATTTCTTTATCCAGGAACCAAGAACAACCCAGATGGAAAGCTACGTCTCCTGTATGAGGGTTTTCCAATGGCATACCTTCTGGAGCATGCGGATGGTGCCGCATCAACTGGAACCATGCGTGTTCTTGACATTCATCCTACTCATATCCATCAACGAGCACCAATTATCTTAGGCTCGAAAGAGGACGTGAAAGATGCTTTAGAATATATTAAAAAGTATGATCTAACTCAGTAAAAAAATTAAATGAGGGAAAAGATATTCAGAGGGTAAAACGCCGTCAAAAGCTTGGTGCTTTTAATTAGAATTTCCATTAATTTATTTAAAGAGCTGACACTTCACTAACTACTCACTAGCTATTTCTTCCATCTTCTTGGTTGTCCTTCATTAGAACATAGGTTAGCCAGATCCTTCTTTTCGTGATGTAGCCAGAAATTATTATAACAGAAGTTTACCGTTTCACCTTTTTGTCCATGAGTACTCTGCAGTGGTTAGATGTAGTTATTTCTACAAAGAAAGCAATATCTACTCGTAGTCGGCTGGGAGCTGTTTCAGTATGCTGACTGCATTTCTTTTTCAGCCAAATAAGGTCAATAAACACTAATCACAATAAATACGGCTCTTCCATCAAAACTAAAAAAAGCGATGTAGCCACCAAACTGGAACAGAACTATCCATTACGCTTTTGTCTTTAAATAGCAATAATAAATAGAAGTTGTGGCATTATCCATCGGCACAAATACATAAGTTAACAAAAAAATACTGAATATCGGACAGTCCCAGCAATGTATTCTACTCTCCTCTTCGTGTACTTCTTCTAGCTCTTAGTAAAATACAAATTTTTAATTGTTATCGGCTTGAACGTTTGTGCACGGATTATCCATCATACTTTTTTTTTTTTTTTTTTGAATTCTTTTAGGAATCCCAACTTTTTTGTCACTACCATTTTAAATTGTTGGTATCTGGCATTACGCCATCTGTGCTTGGTATTTAATTGTAGCTTGATAGATTGGTGTTGAGATAAAAATACTTCTTTTAGCAGTAGCTGAAGAAATAGACAGTGCTACTCGAGAGTGATGTAAAACATGGTTTAAGAGGACGGAAAATAAAAGGATTTAGGTTTTTAATAGGACATCTTAGCAGAAAATACAAATGAATCAGCAAGTGTACAGAACTAGGTATTGGGAAGGCCTTCATTGAAGTAAATAAAACAAATTATGAAAAAATTACCTTAAGGAGTCATACTGCTCTTCTCTGCTAACTAGACACACCGGGTCCACTAAAAAACAATGTGAATTTAGCTAGAAAATAACTTAATAAATTAGCAGCATTAAGTTAAGATTGACTACTGTGATACCACCTCCAAAATTCATGCATACCTTTTGTCCCTTTACAAAGAAATTAAAAGTTTCCACACAACCCAAATTTCAAAAATGCAATGAGTTTAGCGTTTGATGAGTTCGGACAACTTAATATGCAGTGATTTAGTTTTCTGGTTATTCAAGTCTGTTGGATGAAACACTTCATGCACTTGTTTGAACAAACAGCAGTGAAGGAATCATTAAAAAACCCTAGCCTTTATTACTAGAACCTAGGCTATTCTGAGTATATGATGTAATTTCTGAAGTCTAGCCCACAGCACACTATGAATTTTACCCATGGCAATAAAAACTTTAGAAGAACCAAGGGCAGCAAAAATTCTGAAAGTCAATAAAAGTTGAAAACCGCTTAGAGCCGTAAACTGTCAATCATTTGGAAAATCGAATAAGCAGTTAAAAAGACTTACCGTATCAGCTCCTTACCATTTCTTTGTCTAAACTGTTTTATGGGACCATGATAGAGAAGCATTCACTCTTCAAAATAAAAACAGTTACTTTAAAAACTGGTAACATGGCATTTTAAATCTGCACCCGGAAAAGCGTAAATTTAGCTTCTGAATTGCTTGTTCGCATTCTTCCTGTTAGCTGTGAAAATTTAGACGTGAAAAGTTTGCATCGCAAAAACTCGAAACAAAGCTGAACTTCTGATCCCTGTGGTTTCTGAATTGGAAAGATTACTGAGTAAATAAGCTCAGATTTCTGAAAAGAATTGATAATAATTATGTCAGCTTTTATTGCTTGGATATTCTTTTATATACTGACAATTCATTTCCGAAAAGTCACATCCGTTTTAAACTTTTGTGCATTAAGAGAGGTATATAACATCAATATAACTAGTTCCTGAAGTTTATTCATTTCTGAGCCCAAGGATAACTGAACAGTGAATCTTATTATCACTGGTGAATGGTAATCACTCATGGAAAAAGGTGTTCATAACAGTTTTACATCCTTATCTTATGGAACTGTGCATAAAGATACTTTCACCAAACTTTTTCTACGAAATTCAAAATGTAAGGGACTGAAGAATTCCACTGAAAAAAAAAAGCAGCAGCCGTTAGTGAGAGAAGAGGAAACAGAAAAAAGCAGAAGTGAAAAAGCAAGAGGTAATTTAAATCATCTTATTAAACAAACATATGAAGAAAAGCTGTTTGATGCAAAAGGAAAATGAAAGTCAAGTGGTCAGAACCGAAGAAAACCATGAAAAAATGACAACTTTGTAGGACAAATTCAGATTTATAAACACAGAGTACTAATAACCCGTTGCCGTTTCAGCACCTCTCACCAACTGTACTACTGGCGCGTATTAATTCAGAAGGAATGACGCTTAAGGATTCAAAGAAACGAGGTTTTGCGTCCAGTGTTCGACGGCAACGAATTTTACCAATCTACGTTGTAAATAGAATCGGTCGGAAAATAAAGCTCACACAGCTCAACGGCCTTTTCCAAGAAATGTCTAAAATCAGATCTCATATAGTAGCAGGGTAAAAACAACCAAGCAAATTTTGCAACCAAAACTAAAATAAAGAAAATTCATACGAGGAGCTGAACACGCCGATAATAGCTGCCTCTATTTTAAACCTCCTATTCACCATGATGGATCATTGCCAAAAACAACAGAATTTCCCTGCAGAACTGAAAACAAACTCCAAAAATAAAGTCCTTTTGCGTTATACGAGCCTCTTTGCTTTCAGTCTACTGCTGAAAACCTCAGCAGAGTGCGTACATGCTGGAAAAATTCCAATTCCCTGGACAATTAGCTTCGTACGGATATGATTCTGGAACGGTTTTCGTTTATTCAGGATGTCTATTCCGGGAAAAGCATAATTATTGGAGGAAAGAATAAATGAGCTAAGCTAGTTCGGCTAAGGGTCACTAGTCGGTTTTTGACGTCACCTGTTTTATAACTGTACAGTCACCACTGGATCCTTTAGCAGTTCTTTTTGAACATTACTGGCTGATCTCTTATTCGTTCGTTTCTCATTAAGTGTTCCTTTATGTGAAATTCACGCTTTATAGGTGTTTAGGGAAAATCAGAGTTCAGTAGAATAGTTACAGACGGACGCTGGTGTTTCGGGCGTCATTTAGGGCGAAAATTCAATTGTGGATGCTCTATATAACAATGAAACACGACCTGAATCTCTTCTAGTATACGAAGCATTATGCCAATAGGATTTCTGCCTTTATAAAGCATTAGAGGCACACTGAGCGGTGAAGGATATGGTTTACCACAAAGAACCTTCTCGCTTTTTTAGTGGACAATTTCTGTCTTTATACAACCGAAATGTAACATTTGAAGTATTCCAGTATAACGATCTCGAAAGTAATTCGAGCAGATAAGTGAATGGGTAAGGAAACAAACAGTTAAGGATCCACCAATGGCCTCCTCAGGCTTTGACTTAAACTAAGTTGAAAATCTATCGGTGGAGACGGGAGCAAATGAGAAGGGAATTCTGCTGGATTTGGACAAGATGTAAAAATTTTTATGAAGGACTTAGTTGATTGTCCTTGCCCATCTAGACATGTAAAAGGGTCAGAGGCTCAATTTACTGCTTATGCCAAGCTGTCATTAATGTAAAAGGGGGCATCACGAAGTGTTAAGCTTTGGTAAAGTTTTCCAAAACTTGAAAATTTATTTGGAAGGGGTAATAGAAGAAACTGTCAACATCTGTTGGCCTTTATTGGCATTGAAAAACACGGTGTATAGTGATACCATATACGGTTTTCCTCAACAATGACGGTTTGCTGCAGTGTATGTATGAGGTAGTTAACTACGTAACATGAGTATTACTGGTCATTTCAATTGGAAAACGAAGAATCTTGATAGTCATCGAGGTTTTCACCGAGAAGTTGCCATTTACTTTACTTCTACTACATAAATAAATAAATAAATAAATAAATA